GTACACTGTGGCCATGTTCATAGTTGATACTATTGAGCGTTGGCCTTTTCTTTTTTATTAATAATGCTTCCATTACTTTTAACTGAATGTATGTATTGTTTTATATATGTATTTAGAGTTATATATAATGTGATGACCATTTTTAGAAAATAAAATTTTCCTATAATTCTAAATACATGCATAAAACAATCCATACATTCAGTTACAAATTACAGAAGCATTATTAATAAAAAAGGAAAATAATAATAACATTAACTATGAACATGGCCACAATGTGCTAACCATGTTTGGAAAATAAGACATTACTATAACACTATATATATATATATATATATATATATATATATATATATATATATATACGTGTGTGTGCCTTTTTGTTCTGAAGATTCCCCATAACCAACAAAACCTCTGACATATCTTTAAAACTCCCAATGCCTAATAATCAATCATTTTGTCACTGTCCGCTTGATATGAGACTTGTTGCTTGCAAACAAATTAACAAACTTTATATATAAAAAAATGAATAAATAAACAGTACAGGAGATGTCACCCTGACAGGAAAAGGATTACCTATGTTTGATTGAAGAGGGGAAAAAAATCCTGAAAGGCGTGGTTCTGGTTTGGGCAAGTTTGAAAGGGCTGTGAAAGGATTTTGAGAGGAGCGCTGTCATAACATAATCAATTGGTTCCTCAATAAAGATAGATTTCATTTTTAGGAGTGATAAATACTGGGCTAAGATCTTTTTTTTTTCATTTTTTTTCTTTTAAAAATCACCATGTGTTATTGCTTTTGTTGACTTGCAAAGATTCACCAAGAAGTGATAGTTGGTCTGTCCCCACAACAGACTCCCCACTCCCATCAGCATTTGTTGTTTAAAATGCATATCAACTCACTTTAAATTCTGCTTAGGTTCAGTTCTCTTGTGCAATAACTCAGTGAGCCAACATGACCAAGGTGACTGCTAAACTGTAACTAAAGTCCACTCAATACAAGACTCGAGAGCCACTCAAGGCAGAGCGTTATTGGATGTGGTTTGTGATATGAATGTAAGAGTAGGAAGATGAAGAGGCTCAGAATAAATAATGACTGACTCAAGGAAACAGCCATGTGGGAATCTGTTCTTGTTCTTGGGGTCAGGGGTGTCTGAGTGGAACAATGGGAATATGGAGGAAATGAGGATGATTCAACTTTGGGGATGTGGCATGGCAAGTCCTAGCTATAAAGATCAGAACTTGTATAACTAAAGAATTGAGCTCATCTGAATATTGCTATGAAGATAATGATAGAAAAGCAATAGGCTTGTGATGATGTGTAATTTGGAAAGAAGCTGTAAAGTGGACAAAAAGTAATTCTACTACAAGACTGAATAAATGATTTCGAACTCTGTCATAGCTGTAAAGTGAAGATCGAGCAGCTGTAGTATATTACTGCTGGGCTCAAATTTTCACTCACACACTGATGCAGTGGAAGTAAAGCCAAAGGTCTTTCCTCATCCGATATTCAACACAGATCCTGTTCAGATATGACAGCAATACTATATTTTTGATTTAATCTGACACTTGTAAAATTAAAGCATGGCAGAAGGAGTCAGCTACTTTCTGGGGTAGGAGAATGTGCTGACCATTTCGCTATCATCTTTAGCAAAAAGTTTTTTTTAATCATTTCACCCCAAGCAAGGCAATAAAGCTACTAGGATGAAAGGGGTTACTAAGTGTGAGAGAATATGATAAAAGCTACTCTTAAGGAGAGAGGACAATAAAAGAATAAAAATTAAAAAGACAGAAGATAACAATTGATTGACATTGCATTTAAATGTTTGAAGATCCAAAGTCGACTGGGAAGCAAGAAGCCAGAAGAGAATTCCACAAGTGAGAAGTGCGATAAAAGAAACTGTTAGCATAGAATTAATGGTTACATCTAGCCATTTCAACAGTAAAATGATAAAACCTTGCCGCCAATCTAGTACTGCATTTAAATTCATAAAATCCAGGTACCATGAAGGAAAGTTCGTCAGAACAATTACCATGAAAGTATTTATAGAAAAGACAGATTACAGTTATGGGAAAGTGACTGAACCTGAGATGCTAGGTCAGGACCAGTAATATTTCAGATTCGTTGGATTTTATCAAGAATCTCTAAATATATAGCAGGAGAATCAGAGCAGATGTGACAGCAATATTTAAAGTAAGACTTATAAATGTGTAAGATAAATTCTGGTGAGAAGAATTGTCTAGCATGGCATAGTGAACCAAAATTGTTGGCTGCAGACTTCACAGTTGATTCCATATACTCTTTCTATTCTATGTCAGCTGAAAACGTTAGTCCGAGAAGTAACAATGAGTCACTCTCTAGGAGGTTAGCATCAGCCATGCTGATAGAAAGTAAAAAAAGGTTCTCTTAGATGATTAAAAAAGAACAGTTTCACATGAAATGGATTGTATATATGAAGAAATAATCGATGATAGAACTTACAGCATATCTCCCTAGGGAGTGTGGGTAAGGATAAAATACCCGAGAACCCCAAAACAAATTTTATATAAAAACCAGAATCAATGTTGTCTTGTGCCAAAGTAACCTCTATAGTGGGATCTGTAACTGCATATTTGTTACCAATTCTCAAGAAAAAAGAGAATTCATAGATTCTGTTTGATTTGTTTGGGTTTTATTAAAAAATAGATTTTTAAAACAATAAAATTCTTGAGGGGATATACAGTAATAGTTGTGTTGAGGGGAAAACCGGCATTTTCCCTAAGCATTTTTTTTTTTCATGTATGTATACTTTGCCGAAATGTCAATATACTAAATATGTTGCCGAGAATTCTAAGATATATGGTAACCAGAAAAATGGAAATGGAATGGCGCCGTTGGTTGATTAAAAGACTGTTATTTTTTAAGTCGTTTCTACAAACTGTTTTTGGTAAAACACCTGAAAGTAATTAAAGAATCTGGCCAGTTGCCATGGTTCCAATAAAATGAAAAGAAAATTGCTCCAAACGCGCCACAAATAACATTTACCCTAAAGGTTAAATGGAAAAATTAAGAATAATATTTACTCATATAATTGTGGGATACTTTGTAAATATATAAGTATCTAACTTTAATTTTATTACTGTATGTGCAAGAAACAATGTCTGTTTTACCATGGGAGGTATTTGTAAATTTTGTTTCATTACTTGTATTATATTATCAATTATATTGTCTATATTGGCATATTAATAATTTACTTGAATTATATTAATAAATAAGAAACATAAGGGTGACATAAAGAGAGGGAACTGGAAATGATTTAACAGACATTTTCAAGTAAATATTTTCTTTTTTCTATGTACCGTGTTCTTTCATAGCGCATCATAATTTCCTTCTTTTTCTTCTATGTACCATGTCCTGTCAGGATTTTGGCAATCGTGGCTCTCCACAATTTCCTGTCCTTTGTAGCTCTTACTAGAATTTGTCTTTTTGTTATCTCTCCTAAACTTTGTTTCACCATCCATTTGCACAAGCTCATTCTTCTTTTATGTATCATGTCCTTTTCAGGAAGTTGACGATTATGGCTCTCCACAATTTCCTATACTTTGTAGTTTTTAATAAATTTTGTCTTTTTGTCATCTGTTCTGCCATCCATTTACTCAAGCTCATTCTTCTTCTTATGTACCATGACCTTTCAAGAAATTGATGGTCATGGCTCTCCACAATATCCTATCCTTTGTAGTTTTTAATAAATTTTTTTTTTTTGTCATCTGTTCTGCCATCCATTTACTCAAGCTCATTCTTCTTCTTCATTTATGTACCATGTCCTTTCAGGAAATTGAAGGTCATGGTCCTTTCATCCTTTGTAGTTTTAATAAATTTTGTTTTTGAAGGTGTTCTGCCATCCATTTACTCAAATTCTTCTTCTTCATTTATGTACCATGTCCTTTCAGGAAATTGAAGGTCATGGCTCTCCACAATTTCCTATCCTTTGTAGGTTTTAATAAATTTTTATCTTTTTGTCATCTGTTCTGCTATCCATTTAACCATGCCCACTAGGTAGGATATGCATTGTTTTCTCTGCCCCTACCCCTGCCCTCAATCTGTCTTGTGAGTATCAAATTCTCCAATCCCTCCTTCCTCATTATGTGCCCTAGAAACATCAACCATTCCTTCCTGGTGCTAAGTATAAGTTTTCTTTTCGTTTCTGTTTTCTCTTAAACTATATCATAGAAAAACAGATGGTAAAAATTTTTTTGTTATATATCTTTTGTTTGTTGGATACGGTACTTTATTATATGTGTTTTAATTATTATTTGAAATCTTGTAAATAAATGCTTATTGTATTTCAGTCTGCCTTATTAGACCCTCAAATGGGATAGGAAATATATAAGTACGCATTTGATAATAATTATATGGTTTGAAGATCCCACTAGTCCACTTAGTTTCCCATAAAAGGTTTATAATTTACAAAAAATTTAGGAATTATTGTCTCTTTGAAATCAGGAGACTATAAGTGGTAAGAAAAATACACAAGAAATTTTCAGAGACATTAAAAAGTAAGAAGAGTTTATCAGGGAAACAAAATTAAAATAGAGAAAACAAATAATGCGTTTGAGAAAAAAAGAAATGAAACTGGTGAATCATATTATTATAGTTTAGTATTTTACCAGAATTCATTTAGTATCATAAGTTTAGGTCTTTTAAAAAAATTATATTGCAGTAAATTTGTCGGATATAGTACTTTATTATATGCATTTTAACTATTACTTGGAATAATCTTACAGATACTTGTAAAATACAAACAATTACATTTGATTTGCAAACGTAATTCCTGTAGCTAAAAAAAAAAAAAAAAAAAAAAAATCCAATTACCAAAAACATTATTTACCCCAGTCCCCTCACTGAGACAAGATGTGCCACAAATCGGGTTAAATGTGGGGAAACCCAATCACAAACACTTGGTTTCAAGGACAAAAACTGCCAACCCTGACAACTGTCAGTTGCACCAGGATTGGTATGACTACTAATCTC